CGTACCCACACACCGTCACCTCTTTGATCCGTCTTGGACTTACGGATCTTAATGTCTAGTCCCCTGGCCACCCACCACACGTCCGACAACACCAGCGGTGGCTCCGCCCAACGGCTCACTGCCACCACCTCCCCGACCCGCAACGCCCCAAAAAAGCACAAAGAAAAAGCGACCCCGAACAACAACGCTTCATACTCTGAGCTACACACCCTCCTCAGCGCCGCCAGGAGCTCCCACAGAAGCTGCACTGAAATAGGCCTCCTCCGATCCGGGACCCTCCTCCGTCGCCACCCACGCAGGGCTCTCTGAATGCTAAATTCCCTCCCACCCAGGAACCTAAACAAGAAAGACAGGGCCGACAGGCCCTTCTCCGCTGCGGCACATGACCGCCCTTCCTCCAACAATTGCTCCAAAAACAGTACGGTTACCTCAAAGTGCCCCGAGTCTGACGCCAGGCTACTCTCCCCCGACACCAACCGAGCCACTTAGACCACACTGCCCGGTATGACTTCCATGAGGATGCCGACAATGACTCCATCACCAGCCCCATCAATCTTCGGAACCGAGCTCTCATAAAGACTGTGGGCAAGGCTGCTCTGCCTCCGGTGCCGCCTCTCGGAAACGCTGCCACTGGAACCGAGAAAGCGCATCAGCCATGATATTTAACACTCCCGGCACATGACATGCCCTAACCCACACATTATGCTGCAAACTCAACAGGACCAAGCACCTCAGCAATGCCAGAACCGGCGGCGATGCCGACGTCGCACAATTAATCACATGGACAACACTCATTTTGTAAAATCATGCAAATCATGGCAACTACAATCGGGAAGAGATCCAGGAAGGTCAGGTTGCGCATGAGATCCTTACCCCGGAAGTATGCCCCGAAGCCGTAGGAGCCAGACGCATCCGTGAAGAGTTCCAACACCGAGTTACCAACCGCTGTACCTCTCCAAGAAGGAACTCCACACTTGTAAGTCCGCTTTGAGCTTTCTTGTAACCCGTATAAAATGATACGGCTCCCGAATCCCCACCGTCGCCAAGGAGAGCTGGTGACAAAACGCCCGTCCCATCGACAAAACCCGACATGCAAATGCCAGGTGACCCAGCGACACCTGCATCTGCCTCAACTGCACTTTGTTCGCCCCTTTTACTAGGTCGACCCACCGAAACAGCACCGCGGCCTTGTCATCCGGCAACCGAAAGATCATGTTGGCGGAATCAATTTCCACTCCAATTTCCACGACCGGAACGCCAAAATCCGCTGCCACTTCCCGAAAAACACGCAGAAGGTCCCCGCATACCCCAGTCACCCGTTACCCTACAAACAAAAAATCGTCTAAATAATGTGTCACTGAACCGCAACCCGAAACCTGAATTACCACCCATTCCAGAAACGACGCAAAGGACTCAAAATAGGAGCAGGAAATAGCACACCCCATCGGAAGACACATGTCATAGTAGTAACTACCTGCAAAGTGGCAACCGAGGAGATGATGACACTCCGAGCAGACTGGTAACAGCGAAAAAGCCGATTCAATGTCGGACTTCGCCAACCAGACTCCAACCCCGTCGTCCCTGACCAATTCCAAAGCTCTGTCAAACGATGCGTACCGCACGCGGCTGAACTCCTTGTCAATACCGTTGTTAACAGACTCACCTGCTGGATAAGATAGATGATGAATCATGCGATAAGCCCCCTCCTCCTTCTTGGGGACAAAACCCAACAGCGACACTCGAAGATTCTCAAACGGCGAGCGGTCAAACGGCCCCGCCATCCTCCCCAAACGTACCTCTTTGTCCAGTTTTTCCCATAATATCCCTTCCCTACCCAGAACCGAGCGCAAGTTGTTAGCAAAACGCGGCTCCACTGAGGGAACAAAAGGAATCCAAGACCCCGACGAAAATCCGTCCACCAACAGCAACGCATCCCGCCACTTAGGATACCGAGCGAGCCACGGCCCCATCCTTCCCCTGTTCACCGGGGTCCAGGCCTTTTGGGGCTGCATCCACAGCTCCACCTTTGGAAGGCACCTGTTTCCCTTCTTTGAAACAGCGTGCCGCAGGATGCGCTCCTCCACAGTGAGAGCACTCGTGTCGAAAGCGACAGGAACTATACCACCTGCAATGGCTCTCGTTGAAGAGCCAACAAACCCCCCGCTTGGGTCCAGCCGGCGACCCTGCCTGGCTGCCGGCTGAGCCCTGAAAGGGCGACGGCCGGCTGGGGGTCATGAGAAGCAGCCAGAGGCTGCCATCCTGCACCCCGAAGTCCAACCCAGGGCACATCGCCATTTTTTGCTGAAATTGCTGGTCATTTCGGAACCAACATTGACCGCCGTATATTTTGTAAGCCCCCCAAATGAGATCTAGGTACCCAAATAATGATGGGGCCCTCTCTGGAACAATACGCTGGCAAAAACTGCAAAACCCTGCAACCAGTTCCCAAAAGTTTGTGGGAGCTGCTTGCCCTTATCCCCTTCACCCGGCTCCCCCATATAGGCCTATCTACCGAATCCTTATCTAGCGGAACCAGGGATAATAAATCCACAAATTCTTCACGCACTATCTTCTCGCGCGTCTCGCTAGGGACATGGATGCCCAGCAGAGCCAACTCACACCCAGGTATGCTGGGGCGAAAAACGCCCCGTGGAGCCGCAAGCGCGGGCCCTGTCGCTAATGCCCCCCCTTGCGCTACCGAATCCTTATCTAGCGGAACCAGGGATAATAAATCCACAAATTTATTAAAATGGAGCCGCAATCCTTATCTAGCAGAACCAGGGATAATAAATCCACAAATTTATTAAAATGGAGCCGCAAGCGCGGGCCCTGACGCTAATGCCCCCCCTTGCGCTACCGAATCCTTATCTAGCGGAACCAGGGATAATAAATCCACAAATTCTCCACGCACTATCTTCTCGCGCGTCTCGCTAGGGACATGGATGCCCAGCGGAGCCAACTCACACCCAGGTATGCTGGGGCAAAAAACGCCCCGTGGAGCCGCAAGCGCGGGCCCTGTCGCTAATGCCCCCCCTTGCGCTGCCCCTGGTAACCCTGCCACTAGGGCCCTGAGCAGGTGCAAAACTTCCCACTGTGACTCCCTGGAACCCCCTAGGCTGGCACCCAAACTACCCCATGCGCCTGCGCAGGCTGACTCACCGGACACAGGAAGGCTGCCAGGCACCCGGTCATCCAGCTGTTCGTCCTGCTCCTCAGCGCTGTCTTCTTCATCCATGGCCAGTTCCTCCTCCTGACCCAGCCGACCTCTCCACAGTCCGCTATGCTCCACCTCCTCTGGCCGACCACAGCCTTGGCCACCATCACCCGACCTCCTGGGCCGACCGCTCACCCGGCCACCTTCCCTCCCTGACTCCTGGGCACTCACCAGGCCAGCCTCCCGGCTGCCCGGCTCTCCAGACTGGTTTGCCAGGCTCCAAGATGGCGGGGCCTGTGACGTCAGCACGCTCCGGCGCACTGATGTCACGTACGCGCCCCGCGTCGCCTCCTCAGACGTCCGTCTTCCCGCGCGCCCTGACGTCAGTTCCTGCCTCGCCGGAAAAGAAGCAGGACTCCGGGATCTTGCTGCTCTCCCGCCGCCATCTTGATCCTCCATATCCTGCCGCAGCCGCCCGCCAGCAGCCCGGGTAGGGAAGGGGACACCTCCAGCCGCTCCGCCTGATCCGTCAGCCCTGGTCACTCTCCGTCTGCCGCTGCTTCGCCGCACTGGGCTGGGGGAAAGGCGCGTAGGAGGTCTGGATCGCCTAGGCCTCCTACCGCCATCCTGCATCCGTTCAGGCTCCACCACCGCTTCACAGTCGCCGCTCCCTTGCAGGCCGGCCATCACTTCACCCAACGACCCGGAGCCATTCGCCGCCAGGTATGCCTGCAGCATATCCACCAGGTCCTCCCTCGACACGACCGCCATAGCTGAGTAAGTAACATCTATTAGATGAATATTCTCTTTTGTTTTTGTTTTTTTGTTGTTGTTTTTTTAGCACTCACAGCAGGTGTATGGAATTAGGTAAATAGGGAAAGCTCCTGTCCGATATCTTCCTTTTAATCCATCCCCCATTCCTGGGCAGCAGTCATGTCTTTCCCTTCCTTATCCAGTCCAGGGAAACCCTTTCTTGTTGATTATAAAAGGTACGTTACAGTCTTGTGCATGGCAGGATATTTTGGTTCAGCCGAATCATTTTTCCTAAAAGTTAAACTTTTTGGGACATCTAACACACATTAATGCGATGGTTCAGTTTGGCCGTCGTTTATGAAAAACTGTTAGAGGAAACATTCAGACAAACTAAAAAGGGCATGAAAATGAGATGTGTACTGCAAATTATATACATAAAATAAATATGTTGCTGTCTTTTGATTTACAGATGAACAGAAACATTAACCAATAGTGGGAAAAAGAGGAGGGGCAGTGAAAGCAGTGACTGTCCGCTAGTTATCAATCATCTCTTTTTTTTTGCAGTGCAAATAAACGTAACAATACGTGCATGCGGTACCCCAAAGGCAATCCTCATGCTTTTTTCAGACATTAAGTACAGTGAGGTATATAATAGTTAATTTTTAGGGTGAATTTTAGTAAAATTAAGATATAGCAGGACATTGCACTATTTTATGGCATATTAGAAACAGTCTAAACAACAGGCTATGCAACATGTCTAACCACATGAATAAACGGAGGGAAATCCTGATATTAGCTAGGATAGTTAAATGTACAAGGTACAGTCGCTAGATTTGTTAGCCTGGGTATCTAGGCAGACATGGCAATATGTTATATTGTACATGCGGTAAGCAGACAGTTAAGTTCGCTGCCAGTACACCCCTGGTTGCAGTGTCAATAGGAAAGTGTTTGCCGTGTTATGAGGCAGTGTGTAAAAGGTGTGTTCGCTTATCAAGGGGTTTGGGTGGTTAGTGGAATGATGCAAACGTTCAGACATGTGTGGGTGGCTGGTTGCACAGTTACCCTAGAGTGAGTCTCTTTCCCCCAATTCTGTTCAGCCGATGCCTTGTGTGGGCATAGTACAAGCCTGTGCCCTGCACTTGAGTCTCTTGTTCCGCGTTCCGGGTGTGCAGAGGAATGGAGCAGCAGTTAGGGTTACAGGTTTTCTTGGTGAGTGTCTTGAGGTCCCAGCTGTGGGTTGTGCTGATCTGTGCGGTCGTTTGCCGTTGCCGGATTGTTGTGGCAGTGTAGCTGTTTCTGCTAGTTTAAGCTTGTCCCTCCGCCTTCCCCTCAGCCCATTCGGGCGAGCTTTGCTCCTCTGGGATCTGCGTGGGGTTGCAGCTTTTCGGCGAGGCTGTCCTTGGTGCGGAGCCTTGGGAGTCCCCTTATCTGTGTGGGTTTTGTGTGGCCTGAGTCTGGTCACAGCCTTGCTCCGTTTGGGTGCAAGTGTGCCGGGCCCTTTCCTGTGGGCGTCCGTTTTGAGAGTGGGGGGTGTCCCGTCCATCTCTGAGCCCCTGCGCTTCGGCCTTTGCAGCTTACTGCCAGGTGAGGCTTCCGCTTGCGGTGACCGCAGGAGTGCTTTCAGCTTCTTCCAAATTGCCCTAAACATGCGGTCGTACCGGAACTCGGTTTCCTTCATGATCAGGTATATGTCAGTGGAGTGTGCGGTCGCCATTTTGCAACCCTTGCCTGCGGCCTCCGGACTCCGTGATCCTGTCGCTTGGGTCTTGTGTGACCGGTTGAGCTTGTGGGGTTGGACCGGGATATCCCCCACCAGTCCAAAGGGGAGGGGAGCGAGGGCTCTGAGTCTGGTTGCCCTCTGGTCCTGGCAGTAGGAGAGCGGACGTCTCTCCCGCGCCCTCCATGCCAGTAGGCCTCACCGATTTGGGTGGCATAGGTCGGGTCAGTTGTCGCTTGAGATGCATCGTTTTGTTTGTTCCAACGTCCTCCATCGCTTGGTGGCCCTTGTCTGGCTTTTAGGTGTCGTTTCAGAAGGGTTATCACGCTTTTTTGGGTGCTGCTCGCAGGAGCTGTTAAAGATTGCTGCCGCTCAGCTCTGCGGTTCAGCCCCACCCCCAATCATCTCTTTTTTTTTGGTTCTATGGAGGTAACTCCTAATCCCGAAGCATTCAAACATATTCAGGAATTGCCTTGTCGTTTGTTTGGTTTTACATCCATGCCACCTTGGGAATATCGAATTTGGCCAAACAGTCAATCAGCCGAAATTTGGCAAAATCTCATTTAGGTTGAAACTGAGTGCTCAAGTCTAGTACTTGATATTTGTCAAACCACAAGAAACATCTCATAAAATAAAAATGTTTACTATAGAAACCCTAACTTCCTTACTTCAACTAAGAGTCTTTTAACACTGAAAAGGGCCTAACAGTGAGTAGACGTTTTAGAATTTTTAGCATACATTATATTCCAACTTCAAAATCAATCTTGTGGCTAAATTTACAACTGAAAAGCATCATTAAGCAAATGACATATAAATAAGCTGTGATCCCTCTGAAGAGGCTGTGGACCTTTGTTCTAAATCTTGCTGCCATCGTAAATCCAGATAGTAAAAAATAATACTTTTAAAGCATGGCCCACCATAATGCTGCTTTTATATCTAAATCAAAAAGTTCTGCAAATTGACAGACTGAATTATTTACTTTTATTATCTCAGAACCTTGCAGGCCATATCATGGTGAGATTCTGGGAAAACTAACCATTACTGTACAAGAATTCCCCCCACACAACAACAAAATATTCTACATGGGTTTTTCTAACAGCTGTTTTTATTTGAAAAAAAAATAATTTTATATATATTTTTCAGACATCATATAATGTAATCACTACACATCCCACCGCGGTCCCTATGTTCCTTTAACTATACTGGTAAGCATTTGTTATTTAATTTATAAGTCTATTTTAGTTTTAACTACATACTTAACTGATAATTAGTTTGAAGAAAGAAAGTCTCCTTTAGGATTAAAACAAGCCTATATTTTTATGATTTAAAACGGCAATAAACTTTAAGAAAGCCCACAGTAATTCACATTATGCATTAAAGGGTTTTGAATTTGAATATAGTATGTTTTGGACACCAGATGAATTATATGTTTCATTAAATACTTTGCAATTCTGTGTGTTCTGATATAATTTGAGCCGTTATTCTGTCTGCCTGAAGGTTATTTATTTTTACCATTGACTTAAAAATCCAGAAAATGCATATACAAAAGTGATACTTTAGCTATATGTTTTAACTTGGTATCAACTTTTGATATTTATATCCTACCTGTATTTTACCTGCTGTCAAGGAATGATAGGGGAAAAACAGTGCCAAGCCCATCATCGTCCAATGAGGATCTTCTATCATGCATTATAAAATAAACATGCTTTTATTAGATCAAATAGAAACAAACTAGCTTGGAGCTCAACGGAGACTTGGCATCAAACATGAAATATTTGGTAAGTCTGATTACAGAAAACCAATTACATAAAAAAATATGTGACTTTGGCTATGATCGTCTATCTGAAAACTAATGTACAGAACTCAAGCAAGTATTTTTTTTCCTTTAATGAAAAGAGACAAAGACTACTTATGCATATTCATGCAAGCATATGATGAGACGAGGAAGATTGCATTTGGTGGAATGGAACAAATGCTTAAAATTTACACAATCCTGTAACTCAAGCTACGACTTTAAAGATATGTGGCAATAAAAGGTATATTCATTGGAAAGTACTGTTTTAGATCTTCTGTATATTAGTCATGTGCAAATAATATCAGGTTTTTGCAGGCAAATACATTTCGGCACCGTGTTGTAGTAATTGCCTTGTCAAATCAAAGCTGATTTTAGAATGACAGCCAAAACATCATAAAAATAAGTTACAAGTAAAATAATCTTGTGAACTTTTTTGGTCCTATTACTGTGGAGTTTAGAGAAATGTATCAACTGTCGTAAAAATAGCTGCATTAGAATACTACATCCCATTCATTCTGTCTGCCTGTTTGTCAGTTGCCACTGTCGATAGTTGATACTGGGTTGTATGTTTTCTTGCGTGTCAGTGAATGTTGCTCTTTATATTCATTTGTACTCACTCAAGAACAGAGATCTTTGTGATTGAGAACTAGCTGGAAGCATCAAGCCACAGGGATGCTTTTTATGAACACGGCTGGACATCTTTAAAATAATTTCCAGATAACATACTTCTTTCGACTTAAAAATTAAAGCTTGGGAAACTAGCTTTTCAGTAGTATAGACCTGAAGCAACCAAAATATGAATGTGATGGAATGACTCAATCTTAAATAAATATTGTTTCTATGCAGATAATACTTATACCAATACAAACCTTTCAGTTCATTTTAAATGTAACCTATATAAATCATAGTGCAGCTTGTCTATAATATTCCTAAATGAAAGGAACATTTTAAGCACCATAAACTCTACAGTGTTCTTTAGTGGTTATGGTGCTTGGGGTGCCTTGGTTTCCCCATTTGTAGAATGGTTTGCCTAGATACCTGGGGTTCACCCGGTACTGTTTCCTACCAACTCAATCAACTACTAGAAGAGCCAGGAACTCCTGCTTAGTATCTTCCGTTAGCTCTCCTGAGCTCCTGATTTATTGGTTGAGAGCATTAGTTGCTTGCTCTCAGCTACTAAGCTAAGTCCTCCCCATGGCTTAACTCAGAAAGAGAGAATCCAGCTCTTCTGTAAGCTACAGTGAAGCGTAGGAGCGGCACCTGGCAAACTGCAGGTAAGAGATCAAACTGTTCTAAAATGGTTTGACAACTTATAAAGGGAGGGTGCACAGCACACTTGAAGAGTCTCTATAAAAATAGAGGGAGAGTTGTAAATGGACACTCACACTCTACAGAGTTCTTATGTCTGGCTCTAAAATAATGCTTTATTGCTCATCAGGGTGGCAGCTGAATTGTAATTTTTTTTTTATTGTATCTCCGCATATTGGTAACTTCAGTAAAAGCAGGAAAAAATACTGTGTGACATTGTTCTGTTAATTTCAAATCAAATATATACAGTATAATGAATGCTCACTCCCATGGCCCTGAGCTGTAATCCTAGCTCTGGGCTTGAATGCACTAGAGCCAAAATATTGAGTGGAAATAACATGAAATAGTGGAATGGTGGAATTTTCTTTCCTAACGTTGCCAAATTTATGCAAGTTGAAACACACATCATACTGAGAACATAACTATGGTAAGCAGATCGGATGATATCGGCAGCTCACGTTCCGGTACAGGGCTTCGACAGGTAATCGTATTGGTCCATTAATGTTTCATGTTCGGGTGATATCGGCAGCTCATGTTCCAGTAGAGGGCCGACCTGTAGATCAGGATCCTCTGATATGTAGACTCCTCAGAGGTATCTGTTTGGCACGTCCCCCAGCCCTAAAATATTCGAGGCTGTGGGACATAGACGTGTTATTAAAGTTTTTATGAGAATGGCCGGACAAAGCATCGCTGTCCTTATGACAGTTGTCAGCGAAACTGAAAATACTGCTTTGCCTGGTGTCCTTTCGTCGGGTGGCGGACGTTAGAGCAATCGACGTCGACGGCCTATCGTTCACTCCGGACGGCACGTCCCTCTCTATATCCAGACACACCAAGACGGATTCAGCAACAGTTTTCTACCCCTTTTTCCCGACGGAACCAAGACTATGCGTAGTCAAGACGATATGGTCTCTACCACAACTCTGGGTAGATGAGTCCACTGGCTCCTTATGTTGGCAGGTGTTGAATCTTGTTTCTGCGCTCACACTGTACGGAGCACAGCAGCGACACAGGCCTTTGCGACCAGAGCGTCCCTAGCAGACACCATGCGTTCGGCAGACTGGTCTCGAGAAGAGAACTATAAAAAAATGTATTTCCATCCTCCCTCTCACGCTTCCTTTTCTCTACTCGAATAGCGTTAAAAATGCAAAATAGGAAGCCTCCTGTCATGTGGTGAAATTTAAGATTTTACTAACGTAGTGTACTAATGACAGGAGGCAAGTATTCCACCCCCCCTTTCTGTTTGTTGTCCTCTCCCTTGTTGACTATATACCTTGTTCTACTCTTATATATATACTCCTATGCTATGACTTTTAGTTTTCAAGGGAATGATATTAAAGTACTCTGAAGGGTGTTTTTGCACAAGTATTCATTTGTAACATTATATGATATGGTTATGGACAGAATGTGATGCGGAATCATGGTCATTACCAATACCTTTCACTTATTTCTTCTTTTCCGTATGAATACTTTCATCATCTACAAGCGGACCGTAAAATCCCCAAACACTTGTTACAGTTCGGCATGGGCAAGACAATCAAGTTTCTACAGTGCTTTGTTTACAGTTAAAGGGACTATCTACAATCACACCAAAGAAAGAGGAAGATTTGGAGGCTGTCCTACCATATATCTGTTGTGACTGTTGTTTTCTGATTGGTTTAAAGTTTTTGATTAACTTGTTTGCTGCTGGAGTTTTCAAGTAATTAGATTATTAGTACACTACGTTAGCATAATCTACAATTCTATCAATGGAATTTTCACTTATAAGGACAGGTTTTGACTATGTTATACATTGCTCAGAACAGGATACATCTCTGCTCCAAATATGTGGCTTTGGTCTACTACTTGAAGTTTTCAAGACCTGTCCTTTCTGAGATTGACAATACCAAAGATT